GGACAGACTACTTTATACTCTGTGTCAAGCTCTTACCTATTCTAAGTCTGGACAAGTTGTCAAAGAGTAGATTATCAAAGATATGCCATGTGCACCCAATGATTTTAAGACAATCAACTTTAGTTATAAACAAGACAACACCTGATGATGTTTTTGATAAGGACAAGTCTGTTACTCAGTGGTTAGGATAGAAAATTGTTTTTAGTACTCAACTTTCTCTTTTTATCTTGGTCAGTTTTTTTTTTTTTTATTATTTCTCTATATCTTGATTTATATTATGAATATGATATCTGCATAATAAGCCTGTTTCAATTTCTATTTTGAAGTCAGTTGAAGACAAATGTTAGTAATTTTCTTTATGAAATATGGTGAAAACATTTAGAGCAGATTTAACAATCCAAAAATCATGTTAACAAAGGGCATAAAAATGCAGTATACCTCATAACTTGGCCAAACTTTGTGATCAAGATTACCCAATCCAAGACTAGTTGCTGTGAAATCTGTCAAGAAAATTCAGTGTGGATATTGCTGTTGAAGAATCAGGTTAATGAAAGATATTAACACATCAATATAGTGCTAATTGTAAATTTCTTTTATCATTCTGATGCATAGCTTCTGTAAAATCTTTTTGAAACATTCTGGTATAATTTTAAAAGGAAAGGTTTAAAAACAGATTTATTTACAAACAAGTTGAGCTTGTAAAAGTATTTATTACATTGGTTGCAATGGAATACTGTAATTTCCCACGGAAAATAAAACCTGATAATTTTACATGTGAAATAAATCAGATAATTTCATTCCTCTGACTTCGTACAACAATGGGTGTTGTCAAGACATTGTCGATGATGTAGCATCAAAACTAATTGGGAATGCATAGAAAAAGATAAAGATCCTTGTATTTTATACTTTATTTCCATTAAAAAGCCCATGGTCAATGTAATAAAAAACTTTAGGCTCTAAAGAGCCTGTGTCGCTCACCTTGGTCTATGTGCATATTAAACAAAGGACACAGGTGGATTCATGACAAAATTGTGTTTTGGTGATGGTGATGTGTTTGTAGATCTTACTTTACTGAACATTCTTGATGCTTACAATTATCTCTATCTATAATGAACTTGGCCCTGTAGTTTCAGTGGAAATTATTTTGTAAAAATTTACAAAATTTATGAAAATTGTTAAAAATTTATTATAAAGGGCAATAACTCCTTAAGGGGTCAATTGACCATTTTGGTCATGTGACTTATTTGTAGGTCTTACTTTGCTGTACATTATTGCTCTTTACAGTTTATCTCTATCTATAATAATATTCAAGATAATAACCAAAAGCTGAAAAAATTTCTAAAAATTACCAATTCAAGGGCAGCAACCCAACAACGGGTTGCCTGAATGGTCTGAAAATTTAAGGGCAGATAGATCTTGACCTAATGAACAATTTTGTTTTTGAAAGATTTGCTAGAAATGCTTTGGGTTTAGATATATGAGCCAAAAACTGCATTTTACCCTATGTACTATTATTAGCCATGTCGGCCATCTTGGTTTGAGGGCGGGGTCATCAAACACAATTTTTAAACTACATACCCTAATGATGATTGTTTACAACTTTAGTTAAATTCATCTTAGTAGTTTCAGAGGAGAAGATTTTTGTAAAAGATAACAAAAATTTACGAAAAATTGTTAAAAATTGACTATAAAAGAGCAATAACTCCTTAAGGGGTCAACTGACCATTTTGGTCATGTTGACTTATTTGTAGAACTTACTTTGCTGAACATTATTGCTGTTTACAGTTTATCTCTATCTATAATAATATTCAAGATAATAACCAAATAAGGCAAAATTTCCTTAAAATTACTAATTCAGGGGCAGCAACCTAACAACGGGTTGTCCGATTCATCTGAAAATTTCAGGGCAGATAGATCTTGAGCTAATAAACATTTTTACTTATTGTCAGATTTGCTCTCAATGCTTTGGTTTCAGAGATATAAGCCAAAATCTACATTTTATCCCTATGTTCTATTTTTAGCCATGGCGGCCATCTTGGTTAGTTGGCCGGGTCACCGGACACATTTTTTAAACTAGATACCCTAATGATGATATTGGCCAAGTTTGGTTAAATTTGGCCCAGTAGTTTCAGAGGAGAAGATTTTTGTAAAAGTTTACGGACGACGGACGCAGGACGACGGACGACGGATGCCAAGTGATGAGAAAAGCTCACTTGGCCCTTTGGGCCAGGTGAGCTAAAAATAACTAATCAATGAATTCAAATAAAGAAAAATATTCAATTTGTGACCAAACAACACTGATAATTAACTCATGAGCTATGCCCATTCATGAATAAATGTGTTGTTTGGTCACTTGTTGTATACAACGAATAATAATAAATCAGAAGTTTACCTTGCAATCTCCAATAAAATGTTTAATGTCAAGTGTGACAAAAACAAGGACAGAGGAGAAAGAAAGGGTTTAATATCTTTATTATTTTTTTTTTTTTTTTTGTGTTTTATGCCACTTTCAGCACTATTTGCTATTTTTTGGCAGCCAGTATTTATTGTTGGAGGAAGCCAGTGACTGGAGAGAACCACCCACCTTGGGTTGGAAAACTGGCAATCCTACGTAGTCAATTAAGATTGGAGTAGAATGCACCTGCCACGTGGGTGTTTTCATAACCTCAGTGTTAACAGGCTAGTGGTATAGTAGTTGAATTTAACTGGGACCACTTGGCCACTGAGGCCCTAAGGATTAAATAAGTTCACCTCCATTTTGTTGAGGCTATTATTTAATCAAATAAATTTTAAGGATGTTCGCTCCTCTGTTTTAAAAATAGCAAGCTTTTTAAAAGACTGTAATGCAGAAAAAAATGAAAGGTCTGTGTCCTTGTTTTTGAGATATAATCAATTGAAAATTTGGTGGGAAATAATTCTCTCTAGACTTTTTATACATTTAACATTAGCACCTTTTCCTTTCAAAAACAATAAAAAAATAAGATTTTCATAAATGGCTTTTTAAACTATATGTAATAAAATTAAGGAAAGAAAAGTAGGGGTTAGCGAGCAAAATTTTTTCATTGGCATCTAGAGGATTCCGAATATCTGACAAAAAGTCAAAAACAAGAGTAGCAAACATCCTTAAGTGTCCTACTGTAGTAAAGTATATCTCTTCATTTAAAATAACATCATTTTAGTGGTTGTAATTTCTAAACACTAATATAATCAGAACCAAACAAATTAATATGCTAAAAATCGACTCCTTCTCTGTTGACCATAGAAGAAAATTTAATTAAATGACCATTATGTTTTATGTATAATCAATCTAGTCAAGTAAAGCTGACAGAAGAAAGCTCATTATATCAAATATCTCCTCTATAGAGATCAGGTGTTATTATCACTAGCAGGAAGACAGATTGATGTAACTCCATAGCAAATTTAAATGATGGATATAAATTAGGAAACAGGAATAAAAGAAATGTGGGGTATACATCATTGAGACAGCAACCCCACTGACACAAATAACAAAAAGATATCTAAAGGTCAATATATTGACGTCTACAAAACTTGTTCAGCTCTATATCGTCCCAAGTCTAGAAAGATTGTGAATAAATCTAACGGAGTACCTCAAAGATCTGCCATATTAGCACACATCACTGATAAAAACATTATGATATGACAAAAGGCAACTACTGAAAAGGTGTTTATTTGACAGGTTCATGTAGAATCAGTAAGTCAACCATGGGAAAATCAATGTTGTTGGGTTGCTGTCTCATTGATATATAAAAAATTCTCCTTTCATTCATTTACAAAAGAAACAATACTTATTAAGCCATAGATTTTTTATTATCCGCATTAAGCATCATCAAAAATTACTGATCGATTGATTTCCTAACTAGTAACAGTATTGCATTGAATCTGTAAGTATATCAATACTGTGAGGTAAACTTTGGTAGCTGAGAGGACATTTCACGATAGGGATCATCAATGTTAAAAAGTCTCATTCAAGATACTCTATTTGACCAAAGAATGTTTTCATCATAGGTCAACATCTCACTACAAAATCAATTATCCCTTGTTACAAGTTTCTTCATAGAAAAAGTTTTATTTGATGTAATAAAGGTCAACATCAAAAACTTAGAAACCCTAAGCAATTTTCAGAGATTACTGGTAAAGTGGGTCTGCTTATATTAAAAATCCCTGTTGAACAACAGAGAGTCCTTTTGAATAATTTAATGTATAGTACTCTGTTGTTATTGAAAATTAAGAAAGCTTTTCATAATAATATCTTCTTCCAATGATGCCCTTTTGAAACCATAGACATATGCTCATAAGAAAGCAAGAGGAACTACATATAGAAAGAGGGCACAGGGCATCACAACAAAGGGATGGAGCTTTTCAGAACTTTGAGAACTGTCTCGCTGGAACACACAATGATAGTTGACACATTTATCTGGACCATCTTCGTAATTCAAAATAAAAAGTATGAAATGTCAATCAAAATCTAATATACAGTGGAACCTGTTTATAAAGGTCACAATTGGGACCAGAAAAAAACTTGACCTTACAAGAAAGTGACCAAAAAATAATGTTCAAAATACATATTTATTACTTAAACAGGACAAGATGAGGATGAACTGACAAGACAGGTCTTGCTAAAAAGAAGGTGACCTTTATAGCAGGTTTGACTGTATTTGGCAGTGGTCACCAATTTGATTCTTGATCAATGTGTACCGAGACCAATGATTTAAATACTTAGTTTTTTATGTTTCTTTTAATCTTTTTTATTAAAAATTCAAAATCATTTTAAATCATTAATTCTTTTTATTATGTCGCTGGAATCAAATTTAAAAAAAATGAAAAATTCTAAATAAACATATTTCACAATTTGCTGACATTTAAAAAAAAATAGCTAATTCTGTCAATTGTATATTTTACAATTGCCGTTTAACATTGTATTGCCATAAGTACCCTTACTGGTTATTTATTAATTTTATTTCACAATAAAAGATCCTTACCAGTTTGGTCTGTTGTTGTTCCGAACTGTTATCCGATAGTACCACTACAAAACCTGACGTCAATATGTATCAAGTACCGTTAAGCTTTAATGATCACTATAATGAAATACCACACACTGTCAATTACTAAATTTGTACATGAAGAAAATGGATCATTCTTTTAAAAATAAATGAAGATCTCAGGACAAATCAAACAGATTGCTTTGTCTGAACTGATGGTGATCAAATTACAACACAAGCAATTATACGTTTTCCTTTTTGGAATTTAGTAATATCAAAACTTTTATTTTCCTTTTTTTCAGTAGCTGCCACTAAGACATATTTGCTCATATATCAGAAGTTTCTTCAGAATAAACTCTACTATCAATCACAGATGTCAATTCATACTTGAAAAAAAAAATATTTAGAATCCGAACCCCTCTAAAATCCCTGTTTTTCCAAAGATGTTTGAAATCTTCTTTCTCATATAGTGTATAAACAAAATCAAAAAAGTAAAATTTTGAGATTTCTTTGAGAGACCTCTCTCATTGAATGTTGCTTTACATATGTCTTAGCTATTTTTGTTGTTTGTAGTATCTTAGAAACCAACCTAACCACGAAAACATAATGTTGACCATGCAAATTTAATTAAAGTCAGATTAAACCTGTCTAACAGACTTGTACACCTTACAATCACACCAAACATAGTTGACCTATAGCTGATAAATTCTAAGAAACAGCTCCAATCAGGAAAAACCACTAGTTGCTGAACCATGAATTTAGGTCTAAGACAATGGACATATGTCAGACAGAAGTTTCAGATTATAAGGTATTTGTATACAAGATATGTTACCTTCTGAAATATAAAGCTTTATACAAATAGTTTATGCCTTCGCCACTTCCAGTGTAGCATCCAAATGTCTTATGTTTTGCAACATGTGTCGCAGGCCTGACAAAAAATGAGAGAGGGGGAAATTAGGATTTGGTTTTTTCCTTAAGTGGCAGATTTTATCTCAGTCACTGTCCAGATACAGGTTTTCAGAGAGAGAGATCGTGATTTCTGAAATAAACAGAAGTATTTTAATCACAACTTGTTAAGAACCAGGGCAATTTAGAGATTGACTTAAGGAATTGAGACATTTTGATTGTTTGAGATAGTTTTTCGACCTCTAAATGTTTTGTTCTTTTTTCAGATGTTGGATTGCTGTCTCATTGATACACTCCATATTTCTTTTTATTCATATATTAGGCTAGTAGCTTTCATTTTTTTAGTCTAATTTGGTGTCCTGTGTAGTGTTTTGTGAACAGTTTATTGTCTTTTTATTCCATGTATGATCTTGTCTGTCTTTTGTCAACTTACGTTTATTGGTTGCCCCTTGTTTCCTAAGTTGGTATCTTTTTCAGATTCATTGAGTTTCCAGATAATCTGCTTGCTTTTCTTGAGGAACCACTGGAATCTGCTATAACAATAATATTTTTTTAAATGTTAAGGAAGGTTTTTGGTGACTATGAAAATAACCAGGTTCCAAAGAATTTGTTATACATAATACTTGTGTATGCAAAAGAAGGAATATTCAGCCCAAAACAAAAAAATACATGTATGCATACTTGCTTTTGAGATATAAGCTTCTGAAAATTTGAAGAGGAAAAGGAATCATCCAGATTTTTCATATAGTTTGTATAGAGATATTTTCACTGTCAAAATCTTTTTAGAAAGAACAAGACCAGAATTTACAAGGATTTTGTATTTAAAGATATTATATAACCATAGATAGAAATAAGAAGATGTGGTATGAGTGCCAATGAAGACAACTCTCCATCCAAGTCACAATGTGTAAAAAGTAAACAATTATTCAAAGTACGGCCTTCAACACAGAGCCTTGACTCACACCGAACAGCAAGCTATAAAGGGCCCCAAAATGACTAGTGTAAATCAATTCAAACAGGAAAACCAACAGTCTTATCTATATAAAGAACGAGAAACTCTTAAGGTGTAACACCACTAATTCGGCCCGGACAGAAAGCACATACCAGAAAGTAGTACATATTTAACACAAAATAGTTCCTACGCATGAGTGTAACTTTCAAAATATGTAGAATATTTAGGTATTGTTGGTATCAAATGAAAGCTGAATGACTGGTGATCATTGTAGAACACTTTTTGACTTATAATTTTTAATATTAAAAAAACTGCACCAAATTTTATAAAGAGGGTACTTTTTGCCTGTATGTCAGATCTGAAGTACCTGTTTTGGTACATCCGAAGTTCCGGGAACCAGTTCTTTCTTATATGCCATTAAAGGTATGTTGATTTTTCCAGTACAAGACACAATAAAGTGTTGCTTTGACATGCAATGATTGTCACTTTATTTGAACTTGAAACAAAAGAGCTGTGTCTGCTTGAAATTGAGGAATTTAACATAGAAAGCAATGGGGCCATGAATTAGTGGTGTACTTCCTATTACAGAGAATCATCAGAAATTCAATTTTTAGAAGTTGTACCTATTCCAATGAAAATAAGTCATATTTGATGTAAGTAAACATGTTTAATCATCTTTTTTGGATGAACAATTCTGTTTATGGGAAATTTCAGCTCTTAAATTGACATAATCAGGTATTTTAGCCTTTTATGGTCACACAACATGCATGCAGTTAAGACTTGACTCCAAATTCTTATTTTTGCATTATTTGGGATTGCAATCAATAAAACATGTATATAATGACTTGTTTATGGTAAAGAAATAGCTCTTGGTCAAATAATCCTATGATTTTTCAAGTTTTATTGGTTTTCTTATGATAGCCTTTTACAATCTAGGCAATTGGTATATACTCATATAAGAATTCCAAAATCTCACTGTACATGCAATTTTGAACCAGTTTAGCAAGTTATCCAGCTGAAAAATATATAAATTGCTCTTTATAATCTATGTTGTACCACAAAAGTATGGTTTATACCAAAAATGTCCCTTTTCCAATTTGAAGAAAAAAGGGGGGACAATTTTCTCAATTTTGTCTTAGGTTTGGTCTAATATATTTTTATTAAATGAACAAACTCTGGTAAAAAATGACTATTGGTAAGCACATTGTTTTCCTAACAGAAATTATTAAATACAACAATGATATTGAGAATAAAATAAGTATATTGGCCATTTATAATATCCATATGCAGTTTTCTTTGAATAACCTATATGTTACTACCAGTCCAATTTGAGCTTAAAATTAGTAAAATAGTATTTGGACTTAAGCTTTATGTGTTTTTTATTGCTTGAAATAGATCATAGAATGAAATAAAGTGATGCTGAAGTCAGTATAGCAAGTTTGGTTCTGTTATAGGTGTAACACCACTAATTCGGCCCGGACAGAAAGCACATACCAGAAAGTAGTACATATTTAACACAAAATAGTTCCTACGCATGAGTGTAACTTTCAAAATATGTAGAATATTTAGGTATTGTTGGTATCAAATGAAAGCTGAATGACTGGTGATCATTGTAGAACACTTTTTGACTTATAATTTTTAATATTAAAAAAACTGCACCAAATTTTATAAAGAGGGTACTTTTTGCCTGTATGTCAGATCTGAAGTACCTGTTTTGGTACATCCGAAGTTCCGGGAACCAGTTCTTTCTTATATGCCATTAAAGGTATGTTGATTTTTCCAGTACAAGACACAATAAAGTGTTGCTTTGACATGCAATGATTGTCACTTTATTTGAACTTGAAACAAAAGAGCTGTGTCTGCTTGAAATTGAGGAATTTAACATAGAAAGCAATGGGGCCATGAATTAGTGGTGTACTTCCTTAAGAACCACACCAACAAACGACAACCACTGAACAACAGTTTCCTGACTTAGGACAGGTGCAAACAAATGCAGCGGGTTTAAAGCATGATTTTTTTCTAATAATTACACTGTATGAGCTAGGGTTCCAATTGAGAACCTCTAAGACAATCAGCCACCACTCTACCAACTGAGCTAATGGATTACTCCACTAGTGCAGCTAATCGAGAGTGGTTATATATCTACTTGTCAATGAAAGCATCGCTACACTTCCCCAACCTCGATAGTCATTATTTTTTACTTCAAACTAATGGTAAACTATTTTTATCTGTATAATGCACTGTGGATTTTTATACGACCGCAAAAATTTTTTGCGGTCGTATATTGGTATGATGTTGGCGTTGATTTCGTCGTCCGAAGACACATTGGTTTTTCGCACAATAACTTTAGTTTAAGTGAATGGATCTCAATGAAATTTTACCATAAGGTTCAATACCACAAAAGGAAGGTTGGGATTGATTTTGGGGGTTATGGTACCAACAGTTAAGGAATTAGGGGCCAAAAATAAGCATTTTTCTAGTTTCCAGATAATAACTTGTGGAACGGTGCATGGATCTCTCTGAAATTATACCACAAGTTTCCATACCACAAAGGGATAGTTAGGATTTGCTTTGGGGGGTTATGGCTCAAACCGTTTAGGAATTAGGGGCAAAAAAGGGGGAAAACAAGGGCGTCCTGGTTAATGGACAAATACTTTAGTGCAAAACATAATTAAAAACAGTGTAAGGGAGGTAATTCAAATACATCATTTGAATTATCTCCCTTTCACTGCTTTTAAATTATGTATAAAGTAATGGTTAATGAACAATTAAGACAATTAAAAAGCAGTGTAAGGGAGGTAATCCAAATACAACGTTTTGATTACCTCCCTTACACTGCTTTTAAATTATGTTTAAAGAAATGCATATTTATAAAGGAAGACCAGTAAAAATATCTGCAAATGTTGCATCTTTTTTTTTTTAAGAAAAAAATCCATATGAAAGATTTGACACCATATTTTCAATTCTATTATAAAATAGATTAAGTTAGCACTATGGTAAATTTAAATGGGTAATTATGGTTGCAAACTCCATTGGAAATTTGAATTGAGATTTCTCATTTCAGATTTCAGAAATTAAAAAGAAAAATTCTTCAAATATTTTGTTTTTGCCAAAAAAAAGTGTGTGTGTGTGTGTGTGTGTGTGGGGGGGGGGGGGGGGGGGATGTTTTAATACGCAATAGCATAGTGTATTGCACAAAAGCAAAAAAAAAAAGGGGGGGTAAATTTTTTAATTTTTTTTTTTTGGGGGGGGGGGGGTCAATTCGCAACAGCAAAGTGTATTGCACAAAAGCAAAAAATTGAATATAAATTCAAATCATATAACCAATTCTAAGTTCTTTGACTACAGTTATTCTGTGTCAGAAACCTTTTATGTGTCAAATATTCAATTACAATCCAAATTCAGACCTGTATCAAGCGCGAATATTGCGTCCATTTTTGCCCCAACTGTTCAGGGTTGGACCTCTGCGGTCGTATCCAGTTGCGTTCGTCGAAGCAATTTATTTGGTTTTCAGTTTGTGTACCAAATGTAACTGGAAGAACATGATTAGTCTCCCAAAACTATAACTGTACCAGCCAGGGGTCAAATCTGGACCCCTGGCACAGTAAGCCACTGCTCCTTCAACTGAACAATAAGAAGTACTCCACTAGCACAGCTAATGAAGGGTGGTTATATATCTACTTAGGTCAATGAAAGCACCACTACAATGTATTTAATGCAATTATGAACAGAACAATAGGGTAAAATGTTCTATTGCTATCAAAATCAAAAAAGCAAAAGAAATTCAAAATTATGAAAACAAGATGGCCAACACGATCAGGTAACATTCTTAATTTAGATAAAGTCAAACTAGCTTAAGTTCATTAAATGAGTCTATTTTAAACTAAATTGGCTATAAAATGCACTATTGAGCCTTATGCGGAAGTTGAAATAATTCTCTTCAGTCAGAAAAAAAGTGCACAGAAGTGCTTTTATTGATTTGTTGTTATTACATATCTTACATCTTCGCAATGTTTCAAAAGAGTGGGAAGGCTAGATTATCTTGTTCAACTATGATAGGTTTATGTACTGAGTATTATAAAAATAAGTAGATGTGATTGATTTTAAGTTTTGATATAATTGCTACACATCTCTAGTTGTTCCTCATGCTTAAGTTTGATAAAAATCGGTAAATGCATATATACTCATTGAAAGACAGATATGCTTCTTTATGATTATCCAAAAAAATACTTCATGCTACTAGAAACTCACAATTTCCGGATAAAACCTTCTAAAGAACATAAAAAGTAATTTAAATTGTGAAGTACATCAATGATAAGTGCAAAGAGTTAATTACTAGGACTATAACTGGTCATCCATCACGTCAGGAGATGAAAAATTGGGAAAAGAATCCTAATTTAGAGTCACGTCAAACAGTATATCATGATTAACTATGTTTCTGTAAGACAATTGCTCATTATAGTACTGACAAACTGATTAATATCACAAAACCAAATACAAATGTTTAAACCAGTCATCAATAAAAATAATTTGGCATGCATATGGAGCAAGTTAGTTTTTCAGAAATTGGTTGTATTTATT